TAGGCCTTAAGGTGCCTACATAGGAACTCCCTTAAGGCCTACATGTATGCTAATCATAGTTACATGAAGCCTTAGGGATAGTAAGGCACCCAAGTAGGTCGCACGCTAAACCCTAAACCATAAGCCCAAGTACCCTCAAAGGTGCATCAGGAGCTTCCGCTTTGGTCCTGGGTGGCGCTGCCGCCTATGCTGCTGCACAGCTCGCAGGTGGGCAATATACGGGCCTAAATAATTACCTATATTAATGTGGGGCTTCCTTCTTATAGCTAGACTATTATAGACCCAACCCTATTCTAACTATTACGGCCCCTACATTTATTCTCTAAATTGGGGTCCCTGTGTAGGTCCCCACATAGTACGGCACCCTCATTTACAGAACTATCCAAGTGCATGGGAGGTTTGCCGCCTCCTTGGAGGGATTGGAGGTGTAGGATCTTTGGGGGAATAGGGGTTCCTGGTTTAGTGTTTCTCACATCTGGTATCGAGAAGTTGAAATTCAGGAGCGATGGTTAGATCCCCATATGGGTAGTTCTCTAAATAGGGTCCCTTTAAGGGTCCTTTTTATAAGGGTGCCGTACTATATTTGGGACCTAACAAGGGACCCCAATATTGGAAAATAACCCATATGACATCGCGGTCCTCAGGGTCATGGAGCAGGCGCTAGGGCTTAGGGCTGAGGCTTACGATTCAGGGTTGAACCCTAAGCCCTCAACCAAAACCCTAAGTATGTCCCATCGTAGGCGAAAGACAAGCATGTTACATTCGGAGAGGGCAGCTTGCGACTTGCACTTGCTTAGGTTTCCGGGCTTGGGGTTCAGGGTTTACGATTTAGGGATATTTAGGGTTTAGGGTGTGCATGTTTGTAGAGGGAGCAAACACACGAAGGACGAGGCATCCCCCCAGGATCCAACCCTTTGGAACCGATTTCCTAGGGTCCTGAGCCCTAAACCCTAAGCCCTACAAAAGGATCCGCGAAGTGTGCCTAAACCCCAAAACGGCCCTAAACCCTAAACCCTAAACCCTGAACCCTGAACCCTAAACCCTCAACCCTAAACCCTAAACCCAACACAAAACCGTTCCTGCATGTGGTTTCTGACTGCCAGGGGGTTCCCAGACCTTCGTGGCCCCCACCACGGTGCAGGTGGATCGGGTTCGGGTTACGGGGTTCTCTCACGAGGGCTTAGGGTTTAGGGTTTCGGGTTTAGGGTTGCTATCGGGGTTTTCTCACGAGGGCTTTGGGTTTAGGAGTTTAAGCTTACGGGTTAAGGACCCGGTTCGGGACTACTTGTTCTACTAGTAGGGGTTTTGGGTTTAGGGTTCGGGGGTTACCTGTCATGTGGCTTCCCTAAACCCTAAACCCTAAACCCAAACCATGTGGCTTTCCTCAGAGGTTCCGGGTGTAGGGGTGCAGAGGGGCCTTAGTCATTATCTGTATTATTTTAGGGGGTCCTTATTCGAGTTATAGTATAATATACTCAAGAATCCTACTCCAAGTATTCAGGCCCCTACATTAGGAGCCAGTTCGAGGTTGCTTTCGGGGTTCCCTCCTGGGCATAGACTTTTGCATTTAGAGGTCTTGTGAGTACGGCAGGGTTCCCACAAGCATACCTGCAAGGCACGATCAGGGCTTTGGTGATAGGATTTAGGAGATCCTTTGTCGAGTTTGAAGCTTAGCACTGTGAAAGCGATCATCGTTCGCAGTAGTCATGCTGGCAGTGTGAGAATCATTGTCACCCTCAGCACCCAGAATGTCACGGCTGTTGTGCACATCGGGAGACATCGGTGCCACTGCTCTTGCCAGTGTCTTTTTTTATTATGTCTTGTTTATAGGCTATAGGCTATAGGGCTTGGTTAGGGTGCAGGGTTTTGATTGCAGGATCCAGGCTTTAGGGTTATGTTTTTGGGTTTTGTGGGTGAGGGCATGGTAGGGCCTCGGATTCCCCCACACTAGCAGCGGCAGTCCAGCCCGAAACCCTAACATAAACCGCATACAGGAAATGCCCTAAACCCTAAAAGCACGAGAGGCAGAGAGAGGGACCAAACCAGACACGGTTTAGGCTCTTGGGGACCAAGGCTGTCCGTGGGTTTGGGGTTTAGGGGTTTGGGTTTAAGGTTTGCGGTTGATGGTTTGCGAGGGTTTAGAGGTTAGGGTTTAGGGTTTATGGCTCGACAGCCTTAACCTAAAGGCCTATCCCTGCCTACGCTGTACACGCAGACCATAGCCCTCCAAGCAAGAGAGCCGGAAGACAAGCTATATAACATAAGCGAAACCCTCAACTACCCCTAAACCCCTTAAGTCCTATACCCTAATCCTCAGCTAACCCTAAACCCCTAAAGCCTGCACCCTAAACTTTAAACCCTACACACCCCTAAGCCCTATACCTTAAACCCTTCAACTACCCTACACACCCCAAAACAAAGACAAAGCCGGTCCGGGCAACAGGAGCCAACTTCCCAGCTTTCCCTGCGTGGGCGAAGCTCCACCCAGGTCTCGAAGACTTCTGATCGAAATCTGTAGGCTAAGTATCTGAGTGAGTGCAACTTACGGTTTGTTGGGGCTTCTGAACTCAAACCCTAAACCCTAAACATAAGACCTTAAATTGGATTTAGGGTTTGCAACCTTTGAGCTGCTCCTGTAAGCTGGTACGGCTTTAAAGTGGGGGTTTAGGGTTTAGGGTTTAGAATTTGTTGGGTTTTCCAGCACCTTGTTTGGGCCGAAGCAGGGGGCCGTAACAATTCCAGTAAACGAATTAGAATCGGGTTTGGCGGGTGTTTTATGTGTAGTATGGGGTTGTTGTTACTATGTCTCCAGACCCCTCCACTAAAGTAGGGACCTCATTCAAAAGAGTTTGGTTTCAACAAGGAACCCTAAGGTTTTGTATTAACCCGAACCCAAAGGATTCATAAAGAGGAAAATTAAAGGTTTGTAGTAAACATGTGTTAACTTTAGTCTGCAGTTCTTCGGACCCCTGTTTTTTATCCTACTTTCAAGGTGCATGTTAAGCCCAGTGATCCTCGAACTCGCAGCCGGTTGCATCGCTTGATAATTAGGTTCAGTTAAGGGTGTGGGATTTAGGGCTCAGGGTTTAGGGTGTAGGATTCAGGTTTAGGGTTTAGGGTTTAGGGTTTAGGGTGTAGGATTCAGGGGTTAGGGTTTCACGGCTTGCCCTGGCTTTCAGGAAGCAGCTGCAAGGCCTTTGGATGTTTTCATGGTGTGGAGCTTTCGCAGCCGAATGGGTAAATACACGACCAGCCCTAACCCCGAAACCGTAAACCCTTAGACAAATATTAGAGCTATTTTTCCCCCAGGACCCTTTTGCCCTTTGTTTTTCCGGGTTCCCGTATTTAAACCCAAATAGTAGGAGAAAAAAAAAGGGCACCCTTATTGCAAAGGGTCTACTGGGGGACCTAGAGTTTGTTTAGACAGAAGTTGACGGCTTTGTCTGTCTGGTGCTTAGTAGGGAGTGGGGGAACGGATCCCTATGATAGCCCCTTAAGGTCCCTTATGGTAGTCCCTATGATAGCTTAAGGGTCCCTGATAGTAGCCCCTATGATAGCCCCTTAAGGTCCCTTATGGTAGTCCCATGATAGCGCCTTAAGTTCCCTTATAGTAGTCCCAATAACCCATTCCCTACTAAGCACGAGACAGTTGTCGGGTGATATCGTCTTAGTTTAGGGTTTAGGGTTTAGGGTCTTATCGAGCTTTCGGCCTCCAAGCTCTTCAACCTCTGGAGCCTTCTTGGGTTCTTTCCAATACACTAGAAGCCTAAGCAAGTAGCAGGATGGTTCTTTGGGATTCCTTATGGTAGTTAGACTATACAGGAGCCCCGAACCCGATACTAATCATGAAGGCCCCTAAACCCTAAACCCTTAGTAGCCCTTATAGAAGCCTTTAAGGAACCCTTAAAGCAAACCCCAAAACCCTAGGCTAATTACGTAAGCAGGCCCCTACATTACAAATCTTTTTGTTTCGTTTGCCAGCTTCTTTCTTCCTAGACTTCGTGCGCTGGATCTTAGATGACCTGTAAGTTAGAGGGTAATATGGGGGGCCTTAATAGTTACCATACTATTTTGGGGGCTCCTTACTATAAATATAGTATAATATAAAGACCCTACTATAGGGGTTAAAAAAATACCTATACCAAGTTGGGGGCTCCTTGTTATAATTGTAGTATGATGGGCCCCCACACCCTATTCTGATCATAAAGGCCCCTATATTAAGCCCAGGAACCCTACAGACGCTAGACCTTTGCAAAATCCCGAAGAGAACCCTCGTAACTGCTCGTCGTATGAAAGCCCCACAGACAAAGAGACACAAACGAACAACCCTAAATCCTAAGCCCTGCACTACACCATAAATCCGAAACCCTAAGCCCGAAACCCTAAACCCTAAAAACAACAGTATGGTACGCCCTGCTCAAAATAACCTAGCAAGATTTGTTCTGGCCAGTCTCGATCCTCCGAGCTTCCATTGGGTGCTATGGCGATGGCGACCGCTGCGGCGGCCCCGGGAGAGAGTCTAGGGCTATGGCTCCTATAGTTATATGCGCATCCATATCTATGTACCTACATATATATATATATATACATACATATATACACACATACATATGTAACACACATACATACACACCCATATATATATATATATATATATAAATCCCATATGTGTGTACATATAGGTAGATAGATAGATCGATAGATAGATAGATCGATAGATAGATAGACAGGTAGATAGATGGATAGATGGATAGGTAGATAGTAGATATATGCACATATAGTACAGGCTTCTATGAGAGTTCTATCTGGGAGTTCTATCGGGGGGTCGTCGGGATTTACAAGCCGTGTATAAGGGTTCTGTAAGTTTTTCTTTATTATGAGCGCTGCATGAGGGCTTCCGGGGTGTAATAGAGGGGTCTATACAAGCTGTTAGTAGCAGTGTCCCCTTTACAGTCCGTATCTAAGCAGGCGGAATTATCACCAAGTCCGATTCTAGGAATATGGCCCGAGTTTTAGTTGCAAAAGCACATATCGCACGAGGTATTAAAACCTGCAAACCTTCTTGTGGGGATGTTGTCTGTGACGAATTTTTAGGGACGATGATAGCTTGCCATAGCTTGAACCAGCATCGTGCAACTTGTAGAACTGCGCCTTGCACAGGACAGAACCTGGCTGAAGTCCTCTTCCGTGGTTTAGGGTTTAGGGATGTTTAGGTTTTTGGGTTTTGGGTTTAGGTCCTGGACTGTTTTAATTTGAATTTCCAAGGGTTGAAACCAAACCAAGTCTTGCCAACACGGCGCTTGGGCCCTGAAGTTGAGCTCTGTCTTTGCGCTTGACGGCTTTGCTCGGTCAGAAACAGGGCAACGGAGGAAAATCCAACAAGAGGTGCTTCAGAAAAAACGTCGAAGAATCCTAAATCCCAAACCTTGCAAACCCTAGACTTCCTAAGCTGCACGGAAACCTCAAATTTTAAGACAGCCCCTCACATGAATCAGGCCGCTGGATTCTACGGAGCCAGCGGCATGGAACCCGGCACAGGCTTGTAAGGCTAAGGGTGTTTAGGGCTTTGGGTGTTTTTGCGGGGGGTAAGGGTTTCATGCAATTGTCAGACGGGCTTTGTGAAGGTTGTCTATTGGTTATACGGTGTGTTCAAGGTTTGCACGGGGTTTGGGGGCCATACACCCTTAGCCCTAAACCCCTAGACCCCTAG